GAGAGTACGAGAATATTTAGCCTTGAAATTAAAAAATGTGTAGTAAATAAAATATATAGGATTTAAAGATACTATGTTTCTACTTTAAATAAAAACAAAATAAATTAATTACCATACATACGAGCACATTTGTTTATAGTAAGTTTTCTATAAAATACAGTTTAGTATTCATACTGTTTCTTAAAACTTAGTATATTTTAACTTTTATATATACTTTTTTTAAATTTCCTTTTTGTTTTTTCCCAACCGCGTTCATTAAATTGTAAAGTACCCTTTTAATTCAATAATTTATTCAATTATATATAATTTACATTCAGCAAACGAAATAAATTTGGTTTCTTGTGGGAATATACATATTCATATACACACTAATTTGCCATGTTAAGCAAAAGGATACACTCAGCTTACGCAAATCGTGTGAACACAAAATTGCAGATTTATTTGTATACAATTTGTATTTGTAAGAAATCCTCGAACTTCTGTTCATGTGCTCAGAAGATATCAAATGTATTATTTTAATACCAAAATCGTGTGGTAAGAAATTTGATGTGCCAAGTATGTGTCATTTAACGGAAATGATTTCATATTCCACTGGCATATATCGTATATGTAGAAAGCACGGTAAATTCTAACAGATGTGACAATCTCTAAATTTTCAACCATTTTACAAATACGAAAAATATGTCACTTCTATCCGCAGTGCAAAGCGTGTGCCTATCAAATAACATATTGTGCATGTTGGTGAATAAATGAAACGTTTATAACGACTTTTATATGGATTTCAGTAAAGAAAGTATTAAATAATTTTCTTAAGAAAGGAAAAATGCAAAATAAAGGCGAATGATATAAATTTTACTACATTCGACTGCCACTTTTTATAAACCGAATTGACCTTCAGAAAAAGCGCTTCACTCATATATATTTAAAAATAGTTAATTTAATTAGGAGAAATATAACACTTTATGGCGTAAATATCGATTTTACTGCACAATTTGGGTTATGGTACAAGAATTATGTTAATACAATGAAAATTTGCAAACTGACTAAAAATATATTGTGTAAAATTTACGGTTTTCTGAAGTTTATTGAAAAGGGGCGCTGATTCGAAATGAATATTTACACGCGATTAGCGAAAAGGTCGTTAAAAAGTCAAATTAAAGCAAACAAAATATAAATAAAAAATATTATTGATTCCTTCTATAAATAAATTTGCTTATTTACAAATGTGTATATATGATGTAGATACATCTGTTTTTTTAAAATTTTAATTATTGCTTTTGAATTGCCATTTGAAAATAGTGAATGAAGTCCATAAACCAAAGTACAAAATATTGCAAAGGAGAGAAAGCAAAACTTTGATTTATATCCATTGAGGCAGAACATAGAATTTGTATTAATAGCGCAAAATTCAAAAATTCGTAAACTTAACATTAAAATGTTATACAATGAAAACTTATCCATGTAAATTCATGCGTAGTCTAATTTATAGTTTAAGTTCTATAAATTTGTTAGCATTAATAAAAATTTTGAGTTTTATGAGATATACAAAAATATATATTATACACAACCCACTTAGTTGTGAATCAGAACTTTAAAATCACTTTAAAGTTTTTAATAAATAATTTTTTCATCTCACGCTGTTTCTTGCGATTATACCTCATATACAGATGTCATCTGAATATAAAATCGGATTTTAATATAGTTTCAATTTGTGTATTTATGTATTTACTTAAGTTCCACATTCTACAAAAGTAGACCTATATGTTACCTTTTGATTATTACTTCTTCTTCATGTTCCTTATTTATTATATCTTCTCTTACAATGGGATTAACAATAAGTTTTAAAATTATATCAGTAATTACATAATATCACAATTTTTTTTTAACTATACTTTGTATAATATAAAATAAAATAAGTAATCCTTATATCACGGACCTCATTCCCAATCAATGGGTTAAATTTCATTCGGGTGAAATTTAGGTAGTTTATTAAGAAAGCATGTTAACAGCATGGAATATGACTTGAAAAATCTTTTCTTTTCTATCCAATTTCAGATTCATGTTTCATATTTTTCTTTCAAATTTTAATAATTACTTCTTCAATGTAAGACATAATATTCTTTCCATTATTTTTCTTTTATGTTAAGCATATGAGAAACATTTCGTTATTTATTATATTTGGTACAAAGTTAAATAGATGATATTATCTAGTAATGTAATGTTGAGCCTTTTCCGAGTTAGTGCATCTGGGCACTTTCCTCATAATCCTCATAATCTTCGTGATTATTCAGTGACTGATCTAAGATCTGTGTACCGCCCCGTGCGGTTAGTGATTACTCTGAGATTAGATACTGCTAAGTAGGACACTCTGTCGGTTTTCGCATATAGCTTCAGTGCTCTGTTCCTTATGTATTTTTTGACCGAATCTATTTTAAGGTCTCTTATCATGTCATTCGTGCGGGTGTACCATGATGACACATTTATATTTTTTTTATAAAAGAAACAAGTTAAAACTCATGTACATTTTTAATTACTTGCTTATAATGCGTTAAATCGGAAAGGTTGGCGCTTGCAAGTAAAATCCAAACGTTATTTAGTTATTATAAAATTTTATAAAATATTTTGCTTCTTATAAGAAACGTGTTTGATTAGCCAATTTTTAAGGTAATTTCTGCCAAATTATATAAACTCATAACTCCAAAGTAACTTAAGTTGAATACGGTATTAGTGGGTCTCTTGGTCACGTACAGTTAATGGCAAAAATACACAACGAAATACCTTAAATCATTGGCAGCACTAGTAAGCGGTAATAAAAATTAAAACAAAAAATAAAAAACAATAACAAATCGAACTAAAACAACAGTAGCAAAATAAATAAATAACAAATTTGAATGTCACATTTGTGTCGTAAGCGAAAACCGCAGCGCGATAATGATTGAATTTATAAAAGCCGATACAATGCAAACCCAAATGATATGACCATACAAATTACACTGTTTGACATTGACTTTGTCCTTAAATTAAAATATTTCTTTTTATGATTTGCGTAATATCGACTGCAATGAATATTTGATGTATAAAATATAGAAAAATTATTTGCTCATAATAAAACAATAAAGCATGAAATTGTCGTTAAGTTTTTTTTATCATCACTTTGAAAAACTACCAAAATTTCAACCATTATGTAGAAGCAACAAAATGGCGCCGGAAACAGGGCAGACATTTAACAAATATAACGAAAGTTGAAGATTGAAGGAAAACATGCGAAAACAAAGCAAATTGAGACTCTGTTGTTGGCGCCATTGTGCGGCGTTTGAAGGGCTTTTAGGAAATGGTGCACGAAGAGGACAGACGTTAAGTGCTTGTTTTACATGAATCCTTAGCACATCGCACAAAAAACAACAAGCAAATATTTTAAAAGGAATCAAAATACCTCAACTTCCTGCTGCAACTGTTTGTATTATAAATTCCTGGAATCGATATGATTTGTTTTTGCTCCTTACTTAACTGTTTTTTATTTGACATTTAATAGATTTAAAACGTGTTGACATTTCTTTATAATATTTTTCACTTTATATTTTGATTTTATTCATTATATTGGACTCGCACCGTGATATTTTTAATTTACTTGATAGTTTATAAAATTTAATCTTTTAATGGAACTTCAGCAAATGTATAGAAATCAATTATAGTGAACTATAATATGAGATTGCTATTTGGACAATTTGTTAGCTAAATACAGATGATTTCTGGGTGGAAGAAGCGAGATAAATAATTCATAAACAGGAGTATTGATTTTCACTATTTTCCGAAAAAAATCAGCATATTGAAGAAAGGCCAACCCGAAAAAACTCACCTTATAAAAATGCAATCGAAAATTATAGTGACTCGAAGTTAATTTTTTAAGAATATTTGGGACGAATACAAGTTTCTTTTAGGGTTCGAAGTTATTTCCAGGCTAGATCAAGCGACTTCATTTCAATCTTTTTAGAACAACGCTAGGTGGTGCGCGGCATGTCAGCACTACTATCCGCAACATATTTTTGGCAGTATTGTTGATCGGCATTTATTTCCTTCTTCTGTTTAGGTTTGTTTTTTTAATGACTTGCATTTTTAAGTTCCCTCTTGATGATCATTTAAAAACGTCCCGTAATAGCTGAACTTTACAATTGATAAATTGATTCCGTCGCTAAGGCTTTCTCATAGCGAAAGAAAGTATACTATAAAACTGTAACGTTATGTTAAATGTGAATTTACTCTATGTTGTAATATCACCATCACTCATATCTTAACAACACACTAAAAATTATAATTTGTTGAATTATCTCTCCTTTCTAACTTTAAGTTATTATTTAATTCGTGACCAATATATTTATCTTGAACACTCTCTTTAGAGTGTTCCTAAAATTTTGTTTTATGCTATTTATCCTCAATTTAGTAGTTTAACTCATGATTGCCACATCTGTTTTATATATTTCATCTGCAATTCTTTTTTATATAAAAAAATTCTATGAATATATTTCCTTTCAAAAACGGCTTGCATACTGTCTTTTTGTATCATATTCCAAATATTGCTTTCATTTGAACCGACAGGTCCGAAGAAGTCCGAATGAATCTACAACCACTAAATATCGGCTTACCTCAATGTATAATTGAATTATAAATTCAAATTGATTCATTTTACAAATAAACTGTTGAACTCATTAATCTTGAATATTAAACACAGTTATAGTTTTAATTGAAAAATATTAATACAAGGGTTCTGGGGAAAATTTAATATTTGCTCACTTATATAGTAAATGCTACTATTTCAATTTTTAATTGGAAGGGCGTTCAATCCTCATACTATTATATGATTATTATATAATATTTTTATTATAAATTATATTTTTATAATTTACTTTTTAATTATTTTAAATTCTAGAGTATAAATTGGAATATCTAAAATCATTTCCACATTACCTATGATTATTATATAGAAAACAAAAGCTTCTACTCACTTGTTTGTAAAAGTATGAATTTATTATACTTCGGATTGTTGACATACCTGTAAAAAATTGATAAAAATGTTTATATTTTAATCATTTTTAATAACATGTTTTTGTTATAATTTCAAAATTATATGATAAAAATAGAAAAAACTAAATAAAGCTAACAAAGTATAAATCAAAACAAAAGGAAAAGAAACTTTTTCTAATATATAAAAAAAACAATAAAATGATTTGTATTGAAATTGAAATTCGTGCCATAGATTAAAGTAAATGCATGCGAAATACAATTGCATACAAAAAAGGTAATTGTTTTCAATTGCAAATTGAATTGCAATTGCATAAATGAGTTAAATGCACTTTGCAATAACAGCAACACAACTTTTACAAAAACGTAGTATAATATGTATAATGCAATAATAACTGTGATGGGGTTGATGAACTGGAAAAATTACAAAACGAAAAATAACGAATAAAAGTGCTTGCGATGGAAATGTGCATATAATGTCGCTAGTTTAATACTTGACAGATGTACAGATACACACTTTATTAGAGACTCCTCAGTATGTGTAACTACAATGCATACATCAACCTATGCACATTTGCCAAGTGCAGGTGTGGAATGTTATTTGTAGTTAGTTACTTCAACAAGGATATGAATATGGCGTACATGTACTCCATATCAGTTGCATGTAAATTGGAAAAAACATTAGCGACTGCATGTGTGTTACTACAATTGTCGACATTTGTGTGTCAGAAGTATGGCAAGGATACAAGGATATCTATACAAAATAGCTACAAACTATTACATTTCATAATCAAAAGTATAAAGTTCTTGCTACGATCTACTAATGGTGGCACGTATTGAAGTTTATCTTTTTAAATTAATCAATATTGTACAAAATAGTTATGAGTACAATATATATATATATATATATATATATAAATACATAATATATTACATATATTGTTAACTTGATGTACTCTATAGACTTGACTGATTTTTAAATTGATAAGATATACGTGTATACTATAGGAAATATTAATAATTTTATGGAGTTCGAGAAGTGCTAATTAAAACAAATGCGTTATTTTGCACTTAGCTTAATGGAATGTTTTTTTTTTTGAAAATATACAATTGATAATAAAAAATACTTGTGATAATATATAAAAATTTTATGGTAAACATATTAAAAAATTTTTAGAAAAATTAAGTAAGATCCTAAAAAATAAAGTTTAGTTAGCAACCTGATTTTATAGCTTGATGTTATAGCTTATACGTAAATGTTACTTAGTAATTTAATCATATTAAGTTTTTTGAATAATTTTGGGTAATGATTCCGATTTCTTAAACCCAGTGAGATAGCCTATTGTGGTTAACTTCAATACAGCAAACAGTTTTTTCGACTATATTGTATGTCGAAATAAATTTCATAAATTCAAATCGGTTGCAAGGCCAGCAAAGGAATATCATAGCTGGTTGCACTACAAGTCTCGGTGCTGAGAATGTGTTGAGAATGAATTTTTAGTCCCTATTCATGTATGATTTACAGAGTTTTATCACAATTGCGCATGAGAATGGTATGGGCCATTTGTATCTTTATAAGATTTTTTCTCCAGATTTGTTACTAAACGAAAAAAAAATCGGAGACAAGAATAATTTAGAACAAAATTTTTATGAATTTATCGATCGTTAGGATCATATCTACAAAATGAGGGAGTCTTAAAGTCTCTAAATTGAAACTTTTCCTTAAACAGTAAAATGGAAAACTTTTAAAATTTTGAGTTGCTGAAAAATTGTTATTTATATAACTAGTTGTCAGAGTATATTTATAACTATTAATTTTTAGCAATACTTTCTTTAAAATAAGTCACATTAGTACATTATCTTAGTGCTAGACTACATTTATGTTTTAGAAAATTGCATTAACTATAAAAATAAGCAAAAAAAGTTGGAGACGAAGACAGATTTTTTTAAAGTCATTATAATTGATACCAAACTGTCAACTCAACGTATACAGAGTATATAGGCAATACATTATTATTTACTATTTAAATTAACAATACTGGTTTTCATCTCATATTACAGAGTACATGTACAGTTCCCCTAACAATATTTCCTTTAATTTTATTGGTAAATTTCTATATCCTTTATTTCAATTATTAAATTCAATTTTACAAGATTTTTTTTTACTCTTTTTAACAAATATTTTCTCATTATTTTTTTACCTTATCGTTTGTAAACCAATATGTTTATTATGGCAATTTGTAAATACACCTGCAAATCTCAAATAAAATGTTTATATAGTTCGACATAGTTCGATATTTTTCGTTGTATTTTATTTCTAGTAAAACATTATGCATCCACGTTGATAGCGCAAAGATTGGAATTCTAACTGATTGAAGTACACTTTTATTTCAATGATTTTTTTTTGTTTGCAAACTACAATTCAATTGGTAGAATGCTTACTTTATATATATTGTATATTCTATGTAAAACGTTTATCTTTAAATTTATGTTTTGGGGCTCTACATGCAATTTGTTTCACGATTAATAACACACGAATAGAATTATATCAGATCTCATTTCCTTGCTCCTTCGTTTTATAAATAGTTTTATAAATAATTGAAACACATACCTATGTCTTACAATAAAATATTCATTGATTTTTTTATATTGATTGCATTTCTTGTAATTACATTTTTAATTGTAAGTATAAATATTGTTTTATTTCTGAGAATATGATTACCTTTTTTTTTTGAATTTCATTTTAAGTCTTTTATCTGTTTGGTACAAAACTTGTATTTTTTTTTATAAAAAGTTTTTATTATGACATGGAAAAGTTTTTTATGACTTTACATTAGCATGGTTTATGGTATTAATGCATTTTAACACCTACTAAATATCTAAGTTTATACCTATGGCATTAAACTCATAAAATTCGCTAATTAAAATAATAACATCATAACATTTGCTCAATAAAAAATTTTTAATATTAGAGCTATTATTATAATTAGTTCATATTAAAAATTTTAGTTAAACAAAAAATTAAAAAATGCTATTACAATAAACTCTTCCTTTAGTACTTTTTATAACTCCATTGTGTATTTGTTTCTCAATAAATATCTTCAATAAACTTATAGCGAAACTAAAAATAATCATTTTTCATCCATAACTTAATGTGTACTTTACCATTTTATTAGAGCACTTAAAGTTAAGTTGAAGAAAGCACCTGAGCCGCATATCAACGCCAAGTACCATATTTTGCGTTAAATTTTTTATAAGGATTTCTTTGTTTAAGTTTGCCGCATAAGAAATACTTTTAAATTGCATTAAATTTTAAAATTTTCTGGCTGATATTGTGGTCAGACACTGCAGCAACATTGTTCTTGTTGGTTCTTTTGTGTCGTCAGTGTAGTCAGTGTATTTGAAAAGGCGATTGTCGTTGTTATTACTATGAAATTTTAAACATGGAAACATAAGTCAAGAGCCAATGCACTAATGTCAGTGCAACATTTTTAATGTACTGTGGAATTCTTCTTGATGATAACCTTCCTTAAAGAGTTGCCTTTAAGGAGTTCAGAAGAGGCAAACAATATCGGTATGTATGGGTTCATTGACTTGAGTTAAACTGCTGAAGAGCAAGTAGAAGCAATTGAATTGGTTCTTAATATTTTTGCGGTTGTGGTTTTAAAAGAAATATGAAGTTTTGTTTAATTTTTTTTTCTTTTCCATTATGCCATTGTGTAATTCAAATGCAGGTATTTCCACATGAGTAAAATAAATAAGAAATTTCATCTTTATAAATGTGGTTAATAAATATGAACTAATCCATTAAATGCTAGTAGATGAAGCATCATTGTAATAATAAATGTTAGTTTTGTTTATATTCAATACAGAATTTTTATATTTAATATTTAATTATAATATGAGTTTACAACTACATGTTTTTATTCATTCAAGTCGATGTCGCTGACGCCTAGCGACGCCACTGTTCGTATTTGTCGTATTTGAAAAGTACATAAGGCTATTGCATAATTGATATAACCTCCTAATTACATTTTCACAACAAAATATAATTTATATACTTTATAAGGATTACCAATAATATAATATTGTACTGTATATATATCTTTTTGAGTCTTCATCTCACTTTTTATACAGTAAATCTGTTTTAGTTAGGTTTTACTACTTCTGTGAACTTTTCGTTATCACTTCAATTGTCACAATATAATCTAAAACCAGTAATATGGGATTAAGATAAGATAAATAAGATAAATAGTAAAAATTATTAGAAATAATACCGTTTTATTTACAAATTTGTTTATTTGGTATAGAAAAATAATTAAATATCAATTCTTCAGCTGCTAAAATTGACACCTGAGAAATTTTAACATCTAGGGTGTGTGCATATATACTTTTCTAAACGATTTCAAAAAATTGAATCAATACTACACGTTTGCATTTAAATCAAATTATGTTAAATAAAATATGTGTATATTTATATTAAAATATATTTTCGAAATTATTAAACTGCTGAATAGTTTTAATTTCTAGTAAAATACAGAAATTAAATAAAATTATAGTATCTCATCATTTGGATACTAAATTGAAATACAAATTGAAATTTTTTTAAAATTTTTTAAAAAGCTTTAATAAAATGAATAACACCCGTTATTTAGTTTTTGTGTAAGTTTAAAATGAATATCACACTAATAAAAACATATTAAAAAATATAAACATTTTATTATGTCTATAAACCTCACAAAAATATATTTCTAACATAAATTGATTAAGATAAAAGTTTTTTTTGATATATTTCTTAGGTTTGATTGTTATATAGCAATTATAAAACACGCAATATATGTCGAAAAAAACAATTTAAAATATTTATTTTATTCTGTTTCAAAGTTAATGTTCTAATGTATTTAAAAATAAGAAATTCTTTTATTATCTGAAAATATTTCAAGATATTTATTAGATAATATTTTTAATTATAAAACATTTAAAGTTCAAAGCAATTCTTACCTAGAATTCATTCATAAAAATACAAAAAAAATTTATTTTACTTTAAATAAATGTAACAAAAATTATTTTTTTTTTGTAGAATTTTTTCTATTTTTTCCACTGATATATGTATATTAATCTATACAAAATAAAAAGTAGGCGTCTTAAAATTTGCAATCAGATAAACCTACATGAAGATAGATTTTTCACACGCTAAATAATAAAAATGATTAATGTTTCTATAAAAGTAACAATTGTAAGCCGCACTAAATCACTTTTATACTTTTATGGCTAAGAGTATTTAAGTTAATTTTATTAAACGTTTCAAAATTGTCTCTGTTTTAAACTGTCTTTGTCGCATATTGTTAAAAGTATATTAGGCTTAGCGGTCCAACATTGCGTATGTGTAGCATTTTTTTAAATAAGCGACGTTACTCATACAACGCGTGGAACAGATTTCCATTTGAAAAACCTACACTCTTCAGATACTTTGTTTCATTAATTATTTTGCTTTATTCACTGCACACAATCTTGCTCGACACAGTCTTGTTATTTATTTTATTTAATTTTTTATTTTCCATTTTTATTTTTTATTTTTAATATGTCTAATGCCTGCGTTATTATTCATGAACAAATTTAATAAAAAGTAATAATATTTGCAAATGATAAGCGTCAAAAGAAGATTTTCATTATCATCATAAATTTAATTTTGTTGCATACATTAATTACAATATAAAAAATATGAGGAAGGTATAAAATATTTATTTAATAAAAGAAGAAAAAAAAAGGTGAGTAAGTTGCAGTTTGTAATATGAATTGCGAAATATGTGCGATAACAATTCTCACGGGATAGAACATTGAGTAAATAAAAAAGTTTATTTGCCCGCTGTTGCACTTTAATTAAAATTATATCAGTAAAAATGTATATTTTATAGAAAACATAAATGCTAAATTAAAGAATGAAATTAAAACAAACGTAAGAGATTTAAAATCTTTTAAAAAAAAATTTTTTTTTGAATAGCGTTCGTAGTTTTTGTTTACAAATGATTTAATAAATATATAATACATATACGTATATACGTATATACGTCAATGTAGATTTAAGTCTAATACACAGCGTATCCAAAAAACACATAATTAAGAAATTTATATGCCAGTAATAATTCTACAAATGTTATTTAAGTCAATTATTTCCATATTTAAACACTTACGAGTAAGTACTTCCCCAATTTGTTTCACATATGGAATATTTTTAAGAATTTTTTAATAAGTTCAATGTCAATAATAGCAAATAACTAAGCACCAATTGACTTACTTATTGCCTTACAAATTGATTAATTATTTTTCGAAACAGTACGCAAAATAAACAACAACAAATTAAATAATCCTAATAACAAAAACAAAAAAAAATGCGTTTGAAATAAGGCATTAAAACTAATTAGAGTTCAATTTGCACTCAACATTTGTCATGAAGTATGACAAATTTATATCTGGTCAAAGTATCTAAAACAATATATAACGTCATATTTAAACAAACAAGAATAAATAATCGAAAAAATAAGTGCTTTAAATAGATTTTAATTAAAACATAATAGATAAATAAAATATTATACAAATTCAATAATATTACTGTGATTTTTTTAAAAGTTTTGTTATTATTTAATTAATTTTGATTGATCAAATAAATTAATAAGTAGTTTATTATATATATATATATATATATAAATATATATATTAATTTATTAATATGTAAAATTCTAAACTCATCGAAAGTGAATAATCGAATAAAAAACAAACATTTTGATTGGTAATTTCATTAATGAGAAATATCAAATCGCAACAATATGGCAAAATGGACAAGAATAAAAAAAACCTAACGTCAGATAATTCTTTCAGAAAAAGTAGTTTAGTTTTGTTAGTTGGGTAGTTTAAGTTTGGAGATTCGCGACTTCGAGTTTGTGTTTGAGTTATTTTGTACGTCAGTGTGAGAGACAAATAAGTGTGAGAGCAAATAAAGATTGTTCAGTTATCAACAATCATACTAACGTGATTCTTTTTGGTATTTAATCAGTTATTGACAATCCAGTGAGACTAAAGAGAATATCAAGATTGAATTGCAAAAGACAAATTCGTAACAATATTTTAAGAATTATTTTTGAATTTAATATATACTCAAGTTTGTGTAAATTCTTTATTCATCGGAATTACAAAATCGCAATATAAAAAAATATGAATATATGTTATAACTACTATTTTAGAGGTAAAACAAAATAATTTATTATTATAGTTCAACACACTGATTGCAACAAAGTCTACCTCTGCATTATCTTATCAAAACGCTCCAATTTTTATTCTTAAAAGCTTAAGCTTTTAACTCGAACGATTTGTTTATGTATTTATTTAAATGCTAAAGTATAATTTAAAGTTAAGATTGTAAGTTTATTTAAAGATATTACGTTTGTTATAAATGTTAATGTTGTTTAATTATGGTTATATGTTGGTGTTTTATATTGTAAGAAAATATCTCAACGGATAATAAAATTCTTTTGTGAGAATTCCGATCTTTGTCTTTGTTATCTTCTCATAAAAAAATACTACAGCTTAAATAAAATAACAAATAAATTTCATGGAATATATTTTAAAGAATGTTTATTCTAATTATAAATATTTATGCATTTTACTATTTTCTGTAGAAAAAAGAGTATGGAATTTCTTTCTTACATATTTGTATATTGTTAAGGCATTATAATTGTTTTTTAATTTACCTCATTTTATAAACACACTTATTCAAATATTTATATAAAAAAGTTCAATTTACTTTGAAAAAATATTTATTATGTATATAGATATGAGTACAATACAATTTTATACTTATTTAAAGAAAATTATTAAGTGCACTTATGATTGTAATATATAGACTAAAAGTTGGATCAATATATTAAATAGATTTTTTAGTCATGCAAATTTTTAGATGTTAAAAATTTTAACTCAAACATATTTAAAATATTTTATTAAAAAAATTTTAATAAATAATGCAAGGGGAAAAGAACAGTGCTATTGCTTTTAGACCCACAACCATTCATTGAGGAAGAAAAAGAGATATAAGGATTGTTATAATTTATTAGCGCAATCAAAATCTAAGTCGCTTATAAAGACCTCAAAACTTAATCACCCGCTAGTTAAACTGAGAAAAGTTTGTTTACAAGGTTAAGACTTTATCCAAACTTTATTGGGGCTTATATAATAGAAAGCCATAAGAATCGTTTAAGTAGATTCAACTTTAGTATCGTATTAACTGCATTCATTTAATTTTATTTTGCATGATGTTTTTATTAAAAATTTTAATATTATTAATATTAAAATATTAATATTATCGCAAACTTAACTTTAGAAACAAATAATTAAAATAATTTAATAATAATTTGATTTAATAATTTAATAAATAATTTAATTTAATAATTAAATACAAGAATTATTTCCAAGACCACTGATGATGGGTATTTGGCAATACTCGAAACAGTACAAAAGAATACTGGTCAGCCAAAAATTCAATTAATTAAAATAATATAAAAAATAAATTTTTGTTGTTGTATTTCACTACTGTTCGAAGAAACCTCTTTATAAATAATTTAAAATATATAAAAATTTTTTGGATTTATTTATCTACCTGTTTTTTTTTTATAATGGTCTTTATATATTTTTAATCTGGCTATAGGTCCCTTTTTTGTTAAATTATTCAACGTAAAATATTTTTTAAAATACACTATATTTTGACTCTCCTTGAGAGTCATCATCAGGATCACGATCTAACATAAATTAATATTACTAAAAATATATCTACGTCATCCTCTTTATTCTATCGTCTATTTAAAAAATATTTTACTTACATAAATATTTTCTGTATTTCCCTGGGGATTTTTTATACCTTGACCAAACAAACAATTTATATGAAGTTATTGACTGATTATTAATTCTATATTCTATTGTATTACATATGCATAACAAGCTAATCTTAATAGCTATATCTCAATATATGTAGTGTTAGACCACGAAAAATAATTAGTTTGCGCACGCGTATTAATCAATTACAAAATACGTGAGTTCATTCAATCTATCCACGCAATGGGTAAATGGCTTTGATCGGAGACAACAAACGCGATACATGCAATACAACACAAAATAAATTAAACACCGCCTCAGCTACTGTCTCACATTTATTCTGTGCTGTACATTTTCGCGCATGGATCTTTAATTCTTTAGATAAGTAATTATTTAGGTGAGTTTAATATATTTCATAATTATAATCATATTTCATTTTATTATTAATCATAATAAATGTTTAATTGTTTTAATACTCACGAAAGAGTTCGGCCAAATGACTCTCTGAATATGATTAACTTAAATGAATGAAAAAAAATTTTAAATGCATTATTATTAATTAGTAAACATATTTTTATTAATATATTAGAAAATTTTATATTTATATAATGATATAAAAAATGTGTATATAATATGTAAAAAATTGTGTTTATCTTAAAATTTCAAAATATAGTATTAAATAATATCTTTAAAAAACAATTTCTAAGTTATATGAAATCTGTTTCCAAAATATGTATAAAATATTTATGAATATCGAATCTTATTGAAGACAGATTAATTATAGGTTATCTGTGGACCTGTTAGGTAGCTAAAATGGCATTACTATAAAAAACGTTTTTTATCATATGTTTTCAATAAAAATTGTTTACAATTAAATAACTTATGAAACAGTATTATAATCATTTGAAAAATTTGAATTTAAATCTAAATAATAAATTTATTATTCAATTTAAATATTAATCAAGAAAAATATTATTTTTGACACTATTGAGAAATAAAAAAGATAATAAAAACAAACGATTACAAATTGAAAAATTTAGAGTAACAACAAATAGAGCTAATGGAGTGCTAGAACACTACATTGAACAAAAGCTAAACTTAAAGAACAGAAATACCTAAGCAATATAGTGAGGTTATGGTGAAAGCAAGTTGTACAGCAAGTTCTATTGCGATAGAGTAAATATATATGACAAAGCATTTATTGTAAAGCCAAAGCACAAAATTAAATAAAATTTAAACAAAATAATTTTTACGTGATAAAATTAGTTAGGTATATTTATATTAATTTGATTAAAGTAAAAAAGCTAGCTACAAAATTTTTTTAAACATTCTTTTATTTATTGCATCTTCTCCTACAATGAGGCTAACAATAAGTTGTAGAATCTTATCACTAATTACATAATATTACATTTTTTAAATTAACTACACATTTTATAAAAAAAAAATTAAAAATAAGTAAACCTTATATCACGAACCTCACTTAGATCAATGGGTTAAATTTTATTAAAGTGAATGTTAGATGGTTTATTAAGAAAGCAGTTCAACTTTATCAGTTTCGGTATTTGTATTTTTTTCTTATATTGTCAAATTCAGCTTTAACTTAGGGAATTTGTAGATCTCAGTGGATACTTTCATTCCTTATATACCATGGAGCCTAAAACATAAATGTAACTCAAGTCTTCAAATTATTCTTATAACTTGAATTGTTATAAAATTGCTTGAATTGACATATTGTTTCACATTTCTTGGTCTCGACAGTCTATCCAAAATAATTATCTTTAAACTTTGATATTAGTTTTAAAAAGCTATCACTTTACCACAAAAGTATTCATTATCATATAATGTTTATTAGTATTAGTAAAATAATGTTCTCGAATTGATTGCTATTTCTCAAATTGATAAGTTATAGGTCAACTGTCACTTACTGGCAGTTTTATTATTAATTATTATTACCTTTGAAGCATATCAACTGATCATTACCATCATTCTTTAGGGATTCGGTAGAACAATCATTTATTAGAGAAAAATTATTTCAAAACGATATATTATGTGTACATTAATTACCAACGAACTTCAAATGACTATTGTCAAACCATAGTGACAACGTAGTTAGAAAAAGGTTATTTATGTGCATTTGCCAATTAAGTCGTACACTCCTCCAATGGTAAGCCCAACATAAAAGATATTTTAATTTACTTTGAGTGATTCAGAACAGTTGGCGTTTAATGATTTGTATAGTAACTACTGAAGTTTTTATAGTTTGGTTCGAAGCAAGCAATAAGCGTACGTGATACGTTTCTAAATTTTTTATTATTGTGCGTATCAAATTTGAATCGACACGAATGCAGTTAAAAGTTTTTAAGTCGGCAAAATCTTTATTTATTTTTTTTCAATTTTTCCAATTTTTACAATAACAATAAACATTTTTGCAGTTAGCATAAAAATTGAGTAAATATTGCACCAAGTGTGCTTATATGTTCGATTTGATATGCTATATGAGTCTGAAGATCAGACACAAGTTGCACTTCGAGTACTGTTAGCTACTGTAAGTGTCGTTCGCTTTGTTGCAGCCATTGTGCTTGCATTATTGTTTGAGTTACGCAAACATTGTTTGAGCCATGAATGCAGCCAACAATTAATAATTTTGTTGTGGTTTGTGGCAAATGTATTCGCTCTAGACTTTATTGTTAATCTTTTTCTAATATTTTATATTGCAATAATTTTTTTTTTGTAGTATTAATGTTTTGTGGCACACTTAAGCTGGATTTTGATAGTTTGATTGATGAATGATAATGTCTTTTGACAATTCAAATGCATAGTAGATACAAAATGTATAATGAAGATAAATGTAAATGCACACAAAAGTACAGATACTCATATCCATGGTACTAGTATATATGATAACCGAATATATTCAAGTAAAGCAGCGCACCTTAATTTAGATTAATTTCGTATTACGTTAAATTATCCAAACGTGAATAATTTATGATAATAAATTAAATATTCAAATATTGGTAAAGACTTTTAATTTGAATTATTTTTAGGGCTTATTTATATATATAATTTTCGCAATTTTTAAGTAAATATATAAAAGTTATTCATGGCTTACATTTAATAATATCTTTTGAGATCAATTTTGTTTGAACATTAATAACAATAATTCATACCAATACCATTCAAATAATTTAATTGAGATTTTTAATATAAACAATTATTTAATTAAACTACTAAATTTTTTTAGGGAATGAAAATTTATAAACTTGAACACATAGTATAACAATAGGAAACTTCAAAATATTCAAAGATCTTATATACTCATATTTAAGTAGAATATCGTATCAGAAGGGCTAGTATAAAGACGACCATAGTTATTGTAAGAAAGTGGGAAGTCATTAAAAATGTGGGTGACAGTTAGAGCACATTGTATTACTTATGGTTGCGATGTGCGATCAATTTATAATTATTAGAAGAATTACGATATATACAAAAACTACTTGGTATTTTTTACTAAATTTGTTAAGTCGGACATAGATGAATTATTGAATAATCACGAAGATTATCAGGAATACTCAAATTAGTCAGTGAGATAGGTGGGACTCTACAGAAACCCCAGCCATCATAGAGTAAATGTGCTCAGATGCACTAACTCAGAAAAGGCTCAACATAAGATATACAGTGTTGTGCATAACAAAAGTAACCAAAATTTGCCCATCAAATAAATAAGTTTTTTGTCTACTTTTTACTTTTCATTCAAAAATCTAAATATACAGTTTTATTTGATATTGTATTAGCTATTATAAAAAAACAACAAAATCTACAATTCTTCATAACGGGTTAATTAATTCACACAAATAATAAAATATTGTGAAATGCGGCTGTGCAAAACAATAGCAACTCAGACTAGATCAATGATAGATCTATGACCAAAGTGCATTCTAGCAAGATATTTTTTTGATTTTTTGCATTTTTATGCTGTGATTTATGTTTTTAAGCAAATTAGAACAGAAACACAGAATAGTTCAATATTAAATCAGGTAATGGAAGTACGTTTTTATCATGGCTCGTGACACGTATACTTTGAAGTTTAAAAAAGCAAGAATTGAAAAATATTTAAATGGCAGTGCTCAAATGAAATAGCCAAAATATTTAAAATTAATTAGTTTATTGTTTCGCAGCTTATAAAAAAATATAATTTGACAAAATTCCGTTAAAACGGTTTATTTGGGTAAAGCCCCTTGTAAGACTACTCAAAGAATTGATCGAAACATCATATGAATTACAAAAAAAAAAGGATTCATTTTGTCGAAAAAGATCATATATGAGCTTAAACTATATGTGGACTCAAATATTGTACGTAGGCGTACTCTTGAAGCAGGTTTCAAAAGTTACAGACCAGTCAAAAAACCAAGGTTAATTAAATAGCATTTGCAAAAGAACTAGATTTTTTGTTTTACGCTAATTAATAGTAATATGAATTAATATTAATATTAATTTTGAACGATATCACTTAAATTGAACACTTGTTAAATGGAAAACATCTTTTCTCAGCAATAAATCGAAATTAAATATCTTTAATTCTGATAGGATGTGCACAGTACGTCGCGGAAAAGAAAAACGTTTGTATCCGCGAAACTGCCATGCGACGGTGAAGCATGGGGATGGGTCAGTAATGATTTGTGCGTGCTTCTCAAGATTTAGACTTGGACCTTTTCATGAAATTCATCAAATAATAGCCCAACATGTGTACAAAAAAATTTTAGAAAGCCATATGGTACCCCATGGCGGATGAGAAATGTCACTCCGACGGGTATATCAGTACGATAACGACCCAAAACACACCCTAAAGCTGATAAGAGAATGGATTTTGAAAAATGGAATTCCAATTTTAGATTAGCCAGCCCAAACACCTGATTTTAATTCAATTGAGAACATTTTAGTATTCTCAAACGTCCCTTTGGGGGTCGAAAAGTTTCAAAATGTTTGAGGTCATTAAAGATGAAAGATATAAAATTCCAAATAGTTTTATTAACAATTTAATATCACCTATGACCCGTAGAAGTGCACAAGTAATAAAAAGCAAAGGGCTTTATACAAAATTTAGAAAAATAATACAAAAATTTAATAAAATAAATAAAGTTGCTATTGTTCTGCACAGTCGCATTTCGCAATATCTCATTATTTTTGTGAATTATTTAACCCGTTATGAAGAATTGTAGATTTTGTTGTTTTTTTATAATAGCTAATACAATAACAAATAAAACTGTATATTTAGATTTTTGAATAAAAAGTAAAAAGTAGACAAAAAACTTATTTATTTGATGGGCAAATTATAGTTGCTTTTGTTATGCACAACACTGTAGTAAATATTTATGTTCAAATGAAATAATTAAAATTGAATATTACTGTAAAAAACATTAGTGTAAACATTTTTAATTATAAAACAGTAGGCTGTATATAATATAATATAAATATATATAATAATTCAATGAAAAATGTTTTTCAAAAAATGTTCTATGAC